TAGTTTCTCGGATGATTAAGGTGGATTGATTTATTGTTGTATTATGTTAATATTTGAAGGTCTTTAATATCGAACAATTTTACGGGGGAATTGCCTCAATCTCTAGCAAAGTTGACTACATTGGTAGACTTGTAAGTTCCTCATTTTTCTTTTTTCCATTTTTGTATGTTCTTGTTTTATATTTTATAACACAGATATGGTTTGATCTTTATGTTAACTCCATAATTGTATTCATAATGCAGCCGTATAAGTGACAACAACTTCAGTGGAAACATACCCAATTTTATCCAGAACTGGACAAATCTTCGAAGATTGTGAGATGATATATATTTCAGTCTCTTTGATCTTTCATGTACATTTTCCTCTTCAGTTTTCTATTCCATTAATCCCTGAACTTAAACTTTTAAAATGTCAGAGAGATTCAGGGTAGTGGTCTGAGTGGGCCTATCCCTCGAAATATTGCTTCATCCATGGCCAATTTATCTGACTTGTAAGTGCAGATTACAAATTTATAATATCGTGCACATGATCCGATTTAAGTGAAAATGAATCAAATATTCTTTTGAGAAAGGGAAAGCATCTCTGATTGATTGGTGCTTGATTCTATTCTTGTGAATCCAAATATGAATGCAGGAGAATCAGTGACTTGAACGGCAATGAATCAACTTTTCCACTTCTGAGTTACACTAGCAACTTCAAGTATATGTGAGTAATATGCTTTTGATGATAATGCAATGGTCTCACAGAGAACAAACCTTGCTTGTGAGTGACCTAATGAATCTGATTTTGCAGAATTCTGAGGAGCTGCAATATAATCGGGCAGTTACCCGAGTATCTTGGGAAAATGAGTCAGCTGAAAATCCTGTTAGTAAAAACTTTCCTTATCCTCAGACATTCCCTGGAACATAGCTATGGCGTTTTTGTTAGGACAAATACAAAAAAGAAATTAAAAATACTGCTGGAACTATATAAATAAAATAATAAAAAGAAATATTACGAAAAAACAGAGTAACAATAAAAATAGAGGAAAATGATTGTTGATGATGTAGTAGCAGTATTGGAAGGAACCAATACTTGTGTTGCACACAGATTTCTTAAAATGGAGTCGTCCTCCACTGTGGTATAACAGAACTGATGTGTTTTGTTTCGTAGGATATAACTGTTGAAAGTAGTAAACTAACACCTCATCATTACTTTAGACAGACTAAGAATACTCACTATTCTATCACCGAGTAAGAACAAACAAATTATCTAGAATTTTCTTAATTATTTTTGTATTTAACACAAATAATGTTACAAACA